ATATTATACGAATATTTTAGCAAAGTCCTTGTTGCATTTTTCATTAAGATAAATCTAAACTAATTTCTGTAGTTCAAACAACTTAGAATTGTAGTTGAGAACGTCTGTTACAACGGCTCACGTATTAAAAAATAGTCGGGTTTAAATCGGGCTCGGGCTCATAATTACAGTTAATGTGTCGGACCGGGTCGGGCTCGGACACAAGGTGCACGGGCTCGGGTAGGGTCGGGTTTAATTTTTTGGGCCCGATCTAAGCTCTAATTTGCATCAATTGTGAACTTTATCCAAAAGTCAACTGTGACACACACTAGGCTTGGGAAGTATCTAATTTTTCATACTGTCATACAATCCAGAGATTTCACAGCAGTATATTTTCAAAAGCAGTAGAAATACAATCAACAATAAATAAAGATACTGCTTCTGACTGGACTGGTTTCAAATTCATCTCATCCTGACAATGTTTTGTCATTGTTATTGGCATCATAAATTAACTCTTATTTTATTATTGTTTTATTCTTGTCAAATAAAAATCTTCACTAATAATTTTAGTTTTTGTTAACAAAAGCAACACTGCTCTTGGTTTGTACCACATGGGATAGCCTTTATTCACATCTCACAGCAATGAGTCTTGACTACCCAGCACCCTGTCGGCGAATTGTGGTTTTTCCCTCCTCAGACTACTCTCAGTAGGTACTCACTACGGTTGACCCTGAGCACACCACAAGTCATTCCATTTTGGATATGCTCTGTCCATTCAACCCTGCCCATTTCTTCTGCATGCTGAATGTTAGTTTACCGTCTGATATAACCCAGACCATTATATGTTATTTTCATATAACCCAAATATTATTTGTTTCACATTGGGGTGGTCATAATGTTTTGGCTCACTTGTTTATAACATGGAGAGAGACTTTGTGGGCCAATTCTCTTAGTCTTCTGGCTCTCCATGCTGGTGTGAGAGCAAAATTGGGGGTCACAGAGAAGGGGCAGCGACCTTGCAGCATCTAGATAGCTGGGGGTTAAGGGCTCAAGTCCGTTTGCATTTTTAGTTTTTTCATTGCTGTCACAAAATTTTTATAAAATAGAGTTTTCCCATATGGGGACCAGGAAAATGGTTCCCATAAGGTAAAAAAAAGGGTATTCGTCACGTTGTGGGGACATTTGGTCTCCACAAGGTAAGGTATACCTGGACCACACACACACACACACACACACACACACACAAAATATTGTGCAAAATTTATATTGTGCTTTTTATTTGGGTAGTAAGTACATATTTGCTCAGAAGACAGTGTACAATTGGAAGAATAGCAGCATAATAAAAAATAAGAATTTCTTCTGTTCTCCAGAAAGGCACTGGGGTGACTGGAGGAGACTGTTTGAAATTGATAAGCTGACAGAAATAATGAACAGACAAAATATTATGGAGCTCATTTAAATAATTTTCTTTGATTACCTAAGACTTATGTTACATAATAAAGAATAAATACTTCATTGATCCCTGAAGGGAAATTCTCTTTATGCCTCCCCCAACTCTGCAGGTGAGAGCAAGCTGGTTGTGAAGGGCAGCCACCTGTTGTGGCACCCAGGGAGCTGGGGGGTTAAGGGCTTTGCTCAAGGACCTACAGACATGTGGAGGGTGGGTATGAACCAGTGACCTTCAGATCACAGGCACAGAGACTTAGTCCACTGAGCCTCACACTGCCCCTTAAATAGTAGGCATACTACAGGAGGTAGTGCTGTGTGTGGCATTTGCCTCAAACATGGGGGGTTTAATCCCATCTCCACTCTGTATATGTTCTCTCTGTGTCATGTGGGTTTTCCTACTACAACTGCAAGAAGTACAGTTATGCTGCTGGGCCATCATGTGTGAATGGGGGCCACTGTGCTGCCTGTGATGGGGCTCAATCCACCCTGAACCAGTTTATATGTCTGGAAGGTGGATGAGTGTAATATAGTGCAGATGTAATAAAATCCACACTTTGTCCATAGTGACATACATTTCTATGGAGAATTCATGAAAAAACAATATAATAGCATATTCAACCATGAACAAATGAGCTCTTAACCATTAGTGCCGACAGAAAAACCATATGCGTTAATGAGTGTATTTACATGAGCGTATATGTCATCTGCTTGTGGTAAGCAGTGGACTGCTAGCCTGCGCTTGCCTTACCTGATCTTCCTCTCCGCCTCCCTCCTCATCATATTTCAGAATGTTATCCCGCACATCGTCTTCGGGGTCGATCAGCAGCTGCTTGGTCTGTCGCTCCTTCTCCCGGCGCTTGATCCATCCCACAAACAACAGCACCAGGACTGGGAAGATTCCAGAAATGCGTTTGTCGGCATGTGTTATGGGCATGCAGATGGCATACACTAGTCAGTTCTGGGGATAGCCCAGTTCACAGCAATGTGAGCAGTGCAGGACTGTACATGTGAAGACACACAAGAATGTGTGCGTGTCTCTGAGTGTTTAGGCTGACACCCACTGAGCAGCATGATGATGCAGATGAGGATGGCGATAATGGCTCCGGTCCCCAGGCCGGTGGATGCCACGGCCCCTGCGTTGGTGCAGTCGCCGTGCTCGTCACATGGGCACACCTTCACCTTGATGATGGACCTGCTGGAGAGCGGTGGGTTCCCCGAGTCGGACACCACCACAGGCACATCATATACGCCCGCATCCAGATACTGAATGCGGAGCCTCAGCTGGGCGTAGTAACCTGTGGGCCGCACATGGAGCCTGGTCATGTGACCTAAAAGAGTCAGTCTGTCTGCAATATGGGTAACTGTGAGCAGCCAGCACAAAAGAATATGGAAATAATCTGAGTTAAACATACGTTGTTGTTAATACAGTATGTTTGCTTGTTATGGAAATGGGAAGACCCTGAGCTGAAGAAATGCACACGATCCCGGAGGGCTCGTGCCTCACCGTTCAGCCGGGACACGGTCCAGTTGTGGCGAACACTGGGCGGATGGGCGGGCAGTTCAAAAACAAAGGGGCCCATGTTGGGCTCAGTGTCAACGTCAGACGCCGTGATATTGATGGTGGCGGCGTGGAGCCTCTCGCAGATCTGCACCTCTTGGGGCACCAGCGTAGGTGGGTTGTCATTCACATCGATCAGGTAGATCTGCAGGGTGCCTGTGCCGGTGGCAGAGGGGGATCCTGGGGTGTGATTGGAGAGAGAAACAATGAGGAATAGGAAAGGGCACCGGGGCACATGACTCTCATGACATACCCATTCAATTACACAACCGTGTATTCATACAGACAGTCCCCAGGTTAAGAATGTCTGAGTTACAGAAAACATGTACTTACAAACGGACTACCATAAAGTATTTACTAATAAAACATTGTTGGTTTGTAATCATCACATTACTTAGTCACTAGTGAAAACATTTTGTCAGTCTAGGTACAGTACAGCTGTGGCCCAAAGCAGAGAATGACACAAATATTAATTTTCACAAAGTATGCTGCCTCAGTTATGATGAAAATTTGCATATACTCCAGAATTTTATGAAGAGTGATCAGATGAATTGCAATTCATTGCAAAGTCCCTTTTTGTCATGACAATGAACTTACTCCCAAATAAACCCATTTTCACTGTATTTCAGCCCTGCCACAAAAAGATCTGCTGACAGGGATTTCAGGGATTTCAGGGATTCTCTCATTAACACAGTGTTGACAAGGACAATGCTGGAGGTCACTCTGTCATGTTGATGGAGTTAGAATAGCAGACTGATACTTCATTGTTCTTCCTCTGTTAACCATAGTTACCTGCTGTCATGCCCCGATCGTCCGCTCCTCTCGTGTGCCACGCCCCCTCGTTAACCTCATGTGGATTCCCAGTGTTTTATGGCTGTTTCTGATTGTTGTCATTAGTTCATTGTATTTAGTCCGCGTTTCCATTCGTTTCCCCAGTCCGGTCAGTAATGTTACGTGTGTCTTGCAGTGTGTCGTCCCAGAAATAAAGCCCTTTTGTTAATATTCACGGCATCTGTCACCTGCTTCCCCGTGGATCGTGACAGAATGACCGGACTCTACGAGAAGACACCCCAGATCGGTGAGGCTGAATTCCTTGGCCTCACCTACGAGGTTTTGTATTGGCTTGCCCAGCCCAAAGTCTGAGAGGTCTTAGAGGAGATGTCCCTGCCCGGAGACACGCACCTTGTGGGGGAGGTGCGCGACAACATGCGGCAGCTTCGGGAAGGAGCCGTCGAGTCCATGTTAAGACGGGTTGCCATGGACAGCGGACTGCCAGACTGCTTCCAGCACGAAGCGCCCCCGACTCCGCTTCCCCCAGCACGGAGGAAGATGCGGAGAGGCAGAAGACAGGAGGATGCGCCTGAGGTCTGTTTGGGGGCCGTCTATATTTCTGACGCCTGCCCTGCTGAACATTGGAAGAATCCTCGCCCAATTCTAGACCCAGCGGTGTTCGCGGGTGACGTCACCGCCGCTTTGCCTAGGCGGACGCCCGAAGCCCGTCTGCCCGCCGCTTCTCTTCCTGAGCCAGTCGCTTCTCCCTTAAAGGGGCCAGGTCCATTAAGGACGCTATCCCGTGGGTTCCGCGATTTTGGAAGTGGGCAGCGCCCCCCGTGTTTCCTGAGGCTGCAGCGTCCCCCCGTGGTTCCTGAGGCTGCAGCGCCCCCCGTGGTTCCTGAGCCACGGCCATGCCTGGAGACGGCTAGGAGGTTCTTCACCCTCCAGGGTCCATACTGGCGGGTGGTGGGTGAACCCGCCATAAGGGGCTCCCTGGAACATCTCTCAGGCGGCTCCACCTCAACAGCTGGAGAGGGCGGAGGAGACCTTGAGGGAGCTTCTCCGGTTGCGGTCAGAGCTGGCCCCTCCAGAGGAGGACACGGCCCCTGCTGTACCACTGCCCTCTGAGGTTCCCGAGGCCCCTGTGCTCCCCTTTCAGCCCTCAGAGGTACCTGTAGCGCCCCCTGCTGGTGCTGAGTCTGTGGTTCCTGCGGCGCCCCCTGTTGACCCGCCGGCCGAGGCCATTTCTGCACCTCCTGAGTGCCCCGCAGCGCCCCCAGAGGCGCCTGTGTCATCTCCTGCTCCTGCGGCGCCCCCTGCTGGCCACACGCCCGAGGTGCCTGCTAAGGTGCCCCCTGCTGGCCGCACGCCCGAGGTGCCTGCTGAGGAGCCCCCTGCTGGCCACATGCCCGAGGTGCCTGCTGAGGCACCCCCTGCTGGCCGCATGCCCGAGGTGCCTGCTGATGCCGCCGCTCTGCCCGCGGCCCTGCCTGATGCCGCCGCTCTGCCCGGCTCGCCCGTCCTGCCTGTCCAGCCCGGCTCGCCCGTCCTGCCTGTCCAGCCCGGCTCGCCCGTCCTGCCTGTCCAGCCCAGCTTGCCTGTTCAGGCCGCCACGCCCACGGCTCCGGCTGCACCACCTGTCGCCACACCCGCAGCCTCACAGGCTACCTCGCCTGAGGCTACCTCGCCTGAGGCCCTGACTCCTCCCCCGCACTAAACCCTGTGCAGGCTCCTGAGCTCCCCGCGGCTCCCAATGCTCCTGTCCCCGAGGAGGTCCCTGACTGCTGCTCTGACGCTCCTCCCTCCATAGTGGAGTCGGAGGGGGAGCTTGAGTGGGACCCCTCAGGGATTGCCTTGGCTTCCCCTGTGACTGCCCCCGTGACTTCCCCCGTGACTCCTCTACCGTCACCCCAGTGTGACAGACACCTGCGCCGGGGCCGGGTCCCGCCCGCCCTGCCCCCTGGCTCGCCCTGCCCCCTGGCTCGCCCTCGCACGCCTTGTCTGGGGCTCCGGGGTCGCCTGCTGCGCCTCCGGCTCGGGGTCGGCGGTTGCCTTCGGGTCCCCCCCCGGTGCCTCAGTGCCAGTCCTCGGCGTCGCCTCCGGCTCCATGTCGGTCGCCTCCGGGCCCCCCTGCTTCGGCAGGGCGTCGGACGGCGCCGTCGCCTGCCGCGGCTTCCCCCTCCTGCCTGCCTTCACTGGTGTTCCCTCCTGCTCCCTCCGTGTCCCCTCCGTCTCTCCCTCGTCCCGTTCCCTCGGCCCCTGTATGGTTCCCTCCTGCTACCTTCTCCCTCTAGCCAGCGGCCCCTCTGGCCGCCGCCCGTCTGGGCTCCTTCGGGCTCCCTTTTGCCCCCCGTCCATTCCTGTCTGGTCTCCCCTGTCTGCTCCTCCTCCCTTCGTCCCGCCTGTGTCTGCTCCTCGTCCCTCTGTTCCTCCCCCGTTCGCTCCTTTTGTTTCTTCGTTCTTTGTGCCCTCTGTCTCTCCCTTTCTTGTGTGTCTCTCTGCCTTTCCCGTTTTGTGTCAGGTTTTGTCTTGGCTTTTGCCCTTGTGTATGTTCTGTGTGTGTTCTGTTCCCGGTCCCTCGTTGATGTTTTGCTTTTGTCTCTTCAGGTCCCGTGTCCCTGGTCTCGTCGCGTCCGTCGCCTCCCCTGGGGTGCACCCGGTGTGCGCCTCTTTGGGGGGGGGTTCTGTCATGCCCCGATCGTCCACTCCTCTCGTGTGCCACGCCCCCTCGTTAACCTCATGTGGATTCCCAGTGTTTTACGGCTGTTTCTTATTGTTGTCATTAGTTCATTGTATTTAGTCCGCGTTTCCGCTTGTTTCCCCAGTCCGGTCATTGTAATGTTACGTGTGTCTTGCAGTGTGTCGTCCCGGAAATAAAGCCCTTTTGTTTATATTCATGGCATCTGTCGCCTACTTCCCCGTGGATCGTGACACCTGCAAGGAAACGCGTGTGGTCATCATTGCTTTGCACAAAAAGGGCTTCACAGGCAAGGAAATTGCTGCTAGTAAGATTGCACCTAAATCAACTATTTATCGGATCATCAAGTACTTTAAGGAGAGAGCTTCAGTTGTTGTGAAGAAGGCTTCAGGGCACCCAAGAAAGTCCAGCAAGCGCCAGGACCATCTCCTAAGGTTGATTCAGCTGCAGGATCAGGGCACCACCAGTGCAGAACTTGCTCAGGAATGGCAGCAGGCAGGTGTGAGTGCATTTGCACACATACTGAGGGGAAGACTTTTGTAGGATGGCCTGATGTCAAGAAGGGCAGCAATGAAGTTACTTCTCTAAGAAAAACATCAGGGATAGACTGATATTCTGCAAAAGGTACAGGGATTGGACGGGTGAGGATTGGGGTACAGTCATTTTCTCTGATGAATCCCCTTTCCGATTGTTTGAGGCATCCAGAAAGAAATAAAATAAATTTGGTGAGCGCTACCATCAGTCCTATGTCACTGCATTTCAGCCCTGCCACAAAAGGACCTGCTGACAGCATTTCAGTGATTCTTTCGGTAACACAGGTGTGAGTGTTGATGAGGACAGGGCTGGAGATCACCCTGTCATACTGATTGAGTTACAATAGCAGACTGGATTGTCCAGAGAAGAAAAGGTGAGTGCTACCATCAGTCCTATGTCATGCCAACAGTGAAGCATCCTGAGACCATTCATGTGTGGGGTCACTTCTAAGCCAAGGAAGCGGACTCACTCACAATTTTGCATAAGAACACAGCCATGAATAAGGAATGGTATCAAAACATCCTCCAAAAGCAACTTCTCAAAACCATCCAAGAACAGTTTAGTGATGAACAATGCCTTTTCCAGCATGATGGGGCACTCTGCCATACGGCAAAAGTGATAACTAAGTAGCTCGGGGAACAAAACATCGACATTTTGAGTCCATGGTAAGGAAACTCTCTAGACCTTAATCCCATTGAGAACCTGTGGTCAAACCTCAAGAGGCAGGTGGACAGACAAAAACTCATGAACTTCAAGCATTGATTATGCAAGGATGGGCTGCTATCAGTCAGGATTTGGCCCAGAAGTTGATTGACAGCATGCCAGGGCAAATTGTAGAGTTCTTGAAAAAGAAGGGCCAACACTGCAAATATTGACTCTCTGCATAAACTTCATGCAATCTTCAATAAAAGTCTTTGACACTTACGAAATGCTTGTAATTATTCTTCAGTATACCATAGAAACAAAACACTGAAGCAGCAAACTTTGTGAAATCCAATACTTGTGTCATTCTCAAAACTTTTGGACTATATAGTATTGTATGCAAGTACCAGTGGTGGGAGCTCTGTCAATTAGAACCCGGAAAATAAAGGAAAATTACCAGGGGGCAAGGCAGGAGGGTATTCCATGAAGCAGGATTCAGGGAAAGTCTGACTAAGGGAGACGGTTATTCTGATCCAGAGCAGACTTGTTCACTTGCACAAGTTATTGGTAAATGATTCCCAGTTGAGTTAAGAAACGTTGATGGAATGGAACTCCCACTTAAATGAGCCAGACTTGTCTAAATAAGTCAAACTTTCTCTTAATCCTGCTTCATGGAACACTCCCCAGATCTCTTCGTAACCTGGGGACTGTATTAATCGACACTATCGGAATACTCTCCTGATACTTGCCCTTCTATGGTTGTGCAAATTGCCCTGAAAAAAAGATCCAAATACCTGGGCAAATTCTAAAAACAGGATATGAGTAAAATCATACAGCAAGCTTTGGCATTCTGTGTCAGACAGAAGTCTCAAGTGATGAATGAAGAACAGCTAGAACTATCGCTGAGCATGGCATTCAACACACAATGCTGGAATTAAATCTGCTCTGCTCTGCTCTTATAAAGGCATACCTGTATAAGTGTCTAGTTCCCATCATTCCTATAACACAAAACAGCTACATCTATATGAAACAGGGGATCTGCATTCTTTAGACTGGACATTCCAGAAAGCTTAGCAAAAATGAGCTATTGAAATTACTGGAGCAACATTAGTAACCCTTGGAATGACATAAATATGAGACACATATTAGATCTAAAATATACTACAGAAATCAAATTAGACAGACATAAGAATAAGACATTTAGAAAATCAGATCTTAGTGTTGTACATTTAGCAATATATGGTTAGCAATATAGTTGTACCATAACAATGACCATAAATAAATACCATTAAAAAAAATACTATCCTGATCTCAAAATGAAATTCTAAAATTCCACACTCAAGAGCTTTGAAGGTAGTATGAACATACTGAGCAGAACAACAGCCTAGAAAATCAAGATGCTTAAAATATTAACGGCAGTTATTTTAACTATTTGTAGAAATTTGCCAAACACTTATTTAAAAACAATACCAGCTAAAGAAGAACTTGTGGGGTCCTTGTATAGCCATTGAAAATACGCAAGACTGTGTATAATTTCACAATCTGGAGGTTCACATAATAGAGTCTAGCTATTTAACAATTAAAGTGCATAGACCAGCAGGTGGTGCTGTGGTTATAAAATTGGGCTTAGAACCAGCTGGTTATATCTCCTGACCAAAAAGTTTTTCCTTTTCTTTTCAAAAAAAAGAAAAAAAAACTGTCATTGTATCAAAGAAATGCATTTGAAAGTGTAGAGCTGTGTAAATCATTCCATATTCAGCAGCTCTGTAGCAGAAGCAGAGGATGGTAAACATGGACAATGACAGTCTGCAATCATTTTTCCTAGTTAATTGAAGCAGCACATCAGGGGCAGGGGTGGACCTGGCCCGGAGACTCACCGTTGTCTGCTGCCAGGAACTTGGCCTCATAGATGTTATTCTTCACGTAGATGGACTCACGGTCAAGGAGGTCTGTGGTGACAATCTGGCCATTGGTAATGTTGATACTAAGCCAGCTGGCTGGATCATCATATTTGGAGTACCTATAGGTAACAGATTATACTCTTGGCACAACACGAAGCATTCTACAGAGGATAATGGGAGATATAATCTTGTACTTTATTCTCTAAAACAAATTCCATCACTGACCCAGAGGCATTCACAAGTTTACTCTGGGCTATCATACATTACCAGTCATAAGCAAAACAGGCCCAAACCATGATACCACCACCACCATGTTTCACAGATGGGATAAGGTTCTTATGCTCGAATTCAGTGTTTTCCTGTCTCCAAACATAACCCTTCTCATTTAAACAAAAACGTTCTATTTTGGTCTCATCCGTCCACAAGACATTCTTCCAATAGCCTTCTGGCTTGTCCACGTGACCTTTAGCAAACTGCAGATGAGCAGCAATGTTCTTTCTGGAGAGCAGTGGCTTTCTCCTTGCAACCCTGCCATGAAAACCATTGTTGTTCAGTGTTCTGATTGTGGACTCATGAACATTAACATTTGCCAGTGCAGGAGAGGCCTTCAGTTGCTTAGCAGTTACCCTGGGGTCCTTTGTGACCAGGCTGACTATTACACGCCTTGCTCTTGGAGTGATCTTAGTTGGTCGACCACTCCTGGGGAGGGTAACAATGGTCTTACATTTCCACCATTTGTACACAATCTGTCTTACTGTGGATTGGTGAAGTCCGAACCCTTTAGAGATGGTTTTGTAACCTTTTCCATCCTGATGAGCATCAACAACCCTATTTCTGAGGTCCTCAGTAATCTCCTTTACACTTTAACACTTTGATAGATTAAATAACACAGGGTGCCCACACACACCTGATTGTCATCCCATTGATTGAAGACACCTGACTAATTTCACCTTCAAATTACCTGCTAATCCTAGAGGTTCACATACTTTTGCCACTGATAGACATGTAATATTGGATCATTTTCCTCAATAAATAAATGACCAAGTGAAATATTTTTGCCTCATTTATTTAACAGGGTTCTCGATATCTACTTAGAGGACTTGTGTGAAAATCTGATCATGTTTCAGGTCATATTTATGCAGAAATGTAGACAATTCTATAGGGTTCACAAACTTTCAAGCACCACTGTATATAACTGCTCTGCCCCACCTGCTATTCATGTAAACTTACAATGGAGTAATCAGTCCTTGATTTGTTCTGAAGTCTTTATGGCAACAAAAATGAGCAAAGCTCAGGAATTAGAACAATAGACCATGGGTCTGAAAGCTACTTAACTAGATTGCATTCAGCATGCTTTGTTCTATGGCCTGTAAAGTAGCATACAAACAAGACTAGAAGATTTCACAACCTTCACACCCAACATTACACTGAGAAAGACTGGCATTATTTTTTTCACATCTCATGTCTGCTTTAAACCATAATAATCCATGGGGCTTCATCTACTGGGCTAGCAGACTAATTAACACATTTCCATGCATGAGTAGTAGCGATTGACAAAGCCTACAGTGTTACAGGGTTGGCAGTGTAACAGAAGAGGAATAAACAAATTACCAAGAGTCCTTGCATGCTTAAAGAATTGGACTGCTAAAAGAATAGGTTGTTGATTCAAGTCCTATGAGGAGAACTCTGTTTGCTGGACTTCTGACTCTGGCACTTAACCTGCTTCAGTAAAAAATCTATGCTTTAAACAGGTAAGCTATTAAACAAAGCTTGACGTGATTCTTTTCAGGAAGTCAGTAGTGTTATATGGTTGGTAAATATTCAGATATACACAGCTCTGGAAGCACAATCTGCAATGTCCAGTCAGTAGCTGAACAAGCTTGGGGTGGTCCAGGATGCCTGGTCCTGTGCCAGGTCAGTAGGTCCAGTCCAAGCAAGAACCTAGTGTCCAGCTGGCAAGTCCTCACTTACTCAAACCCATTCATTACCATCTGTTGCAAAATAAATGAGTAAATGGGTCCCGCCTGCTTTTTCCCTGAAGTCAGAGGCATTGGGTTGACACCGGAAAGGGGGAAAACACAATGTGTCTCACTCATATCCTTGCCAACCCCACTCCCTCAACCAGACCCCATCATTTGACTCCATCCAGCTCTAGCAAGATCCCTGGCAAATCCTTACTTCCAGTCTAATCACCAAATTTAATTATGTGAAACAGATTGGGGCCGTCTGCAGCTCATTCATGACTAAATTGCTTTTGCTTCTGCTGTCATTACTTAACGCAGGGTGTAGGAATTTCAGAGGACATACCTATACTCCACAGGTAAAACCAAACCAAACTGGAGGAACGCAAACAGACGCAGCAGAACACGAAGAGATGAACTTCTTTTATGGATGCATTAGAATGTTTTAAACAGAAATCCCTTCCCCCAATACAGTTGAGCTTTGGATGAGCTGGGGCTGATCCTTAGCTTAAACCAGACTTATGTAACAAATCAAGAGCTCCACTTATTATGGTCATATGGTTCTATGATTCACTACAGAATCACAGAAATGTACCAGCTTAATCAGTTACTTGCTTAGATTTCACTTTTCGTTAATGCTTACTGACATAGGTGTGACATTTTGTGATTGATTAAATTGTTAATTTCAGGGAATAGAAATAGAATATAAGAAGGAAATGTACAATGCACTCAATTATCCAAGAATGTGGTAGGATTATGTCACTTGACCAATTAACTTCAGAGTAAGCGACAAAATGGAAAAACAAAATCACAGAACGCTCATATTACTTCTGATGTCATACTATTACTGTTATTTTGTTTAATGGGTAAAAGGTTTATTCAAAGCAATTCGCAGTCTGCTCACTGCTTTCTTTATGTTCATTGATATTCACTAATCAATATCTCATCAAATTGTTTAATTATTCAGTGAAATCAGATATGTAAATGTAAGAAACACATGGAATGACCAGTGTGCCCCTGAAGAGACTGAGGGCTTACCTGAGCACCTGGTGCACAAAGCGGTCTGGGTCAGTGGCGGCGAAGTTGGTGAGCGCGGTGCCTGCTGGGACACCCTCCTCGAAACGCACAAGCTTGGGGTTGGTGGGAAAGAAAGGCGGCTCATTGACGTCTGCCACTGAGATGGTGACCCCAGCCGTGGACTGCAAGGAGGACTGGATCCCGCTAGCCAGAGGTTCCTGATTGATCACCACCACTGTCAGCATGAAGGCCCGGTTCATCTCATAGTCCACTGGCTACATATGGTCAAGATGGGAGACGTCAAGGTCAATTTCAAGCAATAAATGGTGTGAAGGTCACTTCTGCTTAGTTAAATCTCTTTTTCTTATACTTAAGTATGCAATTAAAACATTCTACTTTCGTACAAACAACTTTCCTAATTCCTATACTCTCCTGAACAAAAACACATAAAAATAAGTAACGCTACAAAAGTGTGGAATCTGTACTGTGTCTGACTTCTACTCTTGTTAAACATCGCACAGGGGCAGATTAACTGTACCCCAGTCTAAGCTGAAGTCTGCAAGGTATCCAGAGCAGTGAAACACCTCCACAGAACAAGATATCCCCTGATCTCTTTGATAAAACTACTAACATAGATACTTTGATGTTTCAGATCCCTTCTGCTTCCTGATTTTTTTAATATTAGAACTTCCCCAACACAAAGTTCATTTTATACAATGTGATTTTTTAACTAATTTTGTAAATTTTACATTCATTTTGAAACATCTGGCAAAATACCTCTCTCAAGGGGAGAACCAAATTAAGTAAACTGACAAATGCATAAAAAACCCAAATATTGTATGATTATCTTAGGATGACACTCTTTCCCTCCGAAGGCCAAGAAGAGGATGCTGGGTATTGTGCTGTTGTCAGGGATGCCAACTGTTTGTACATTTAGGAACAGTCTGTATTAAATTCACCCTGTCTGTAAATCCATAAATAAATTAGACTGTTCATAGAACCTAAAAATAAAAAAAAATAGGGTGCCAATAAAAAATATGGCATGTAAGTAAAAACGTTTATTTTTCTTTTAAAAAGGTGTCGGTAAAAGCAAGCAACCCTGGCTGTTGTTAATCACTGGATGTTGCTGTTTGCCCATGTTGTGTCTCGTCTATAATCCCCAGAATTGAATGTCAAAGTTCAGTTGAGGCTCTCAATGTTCTTCTGCTGTTTGCTTCTGTTGATCTTGATTTACGCATCCCCAAAGCAGATCATTAATCCAATTTACTCTTGGGTGTAATGAAGAGACTCGAAAACCAAGAGTGGTTAAATGAAGTCGCTGATACACAGCTAAACATCACGCTGATCAAATATTAAGGGTATATAAAAGAAAACATGTCATTTTCAGTAATAGTTTCAGCTGTGCTACAAGGTGTGAGGTGGCTGCAAAGATTTGCCATCTCTGCATGTGACTGGGCTTGTGGGAAATATACTTTTCAGTGTGTCTCACCCCATCATGTGGACACACACAAAACTTGTAACACAGCTCAAAGTCAAAGGCACACTAATGTTTAAAAGGAAGACATACAAATTATTAGACCTTTAAACCACACCTAACTTGAATCTCGGAATAGTTATATATTTTAGTATAAGACTGCCTACACAGCATGCCGGTAGGAAGGGCTATAATTAATAATAAAAAAAATAATGCACACATACATATTACACATTCATACAATTACAATAATATAAAGCTAAAGTTCATGTTAAAAGTTGGGGCAGGAGCTTAGCATTCACAGTAGCATATGTACCCTGAGCACAGTGACCATTCCATCGTTAGTGACTGGGTGTGTCTGAATGGTGAAGTGACCGGAGGGGTCCCCACTGACTATCCTGTAAACCGCGTTCCAGTTGGGCGTGTGTGGCTTGTCCAGGTCATTGACAGTCAGGTTGGCCACCACCACATTCACCTTGTTCTCTGGCACCTCCCCGGAGAACTGGTGGGAACAGATGGTGAGAGAGAGAGAAAGAGAAAGTTAAGGACTTTCACGAACCTGTAAAGCTCAGAGACTCATTTTTGAAATTTGATAACTCAATAAAAATGCTTTGTTTCACCTACACCAGCAAGAAGAGCAGCTGAAGACCTGAAAATCTATAGCAGGCAAGGAAAGCAAAAACTTTTAGTTTCTTATTTCCTTTCTTGCTATAGTTTTAAAAGTGGCCAGTTGGCTTCTCTGGAAATTTGACAGAGGAATAACTTTTTTATGCTGTTGACAACTACTTTACACAGCATGAAGTTAAAAGACACGAGTTCCTTATTCCTCATCTAACCAAATGTAATTAAAATGCACTTTCCAATGTACCACTCCACTCACCTGCCCTCCCTGTGAGACTGAGAATTACCTCATGACCACTCATTGCAGGGAATCCACTATTTACAACATTCAATGCACATACCTCACACTATCACGTGCAGGTTATTCTCAATTATTCAAATACTGAGCCTAGCACATGCTACACTTTTTACAGATATTTTATAGCCACTTCTACTCCAAACGTGAGCATATTGTACCTGTTGCAATTAGTCATTATCCCTATATAGCGCCACATACTGTGGAGGCATCAAAGTTGTAATTAGACTGACCGAGGGTAAGGTTGTGCATGCTGACCAGAGCATGTGAGCGGAGCGGAGCGGTGAGAATTTCCGCTCCTCGCTCACGAGGCTGTTGGCTCCGCCCGCTTCTCCGCTCTAATTCGCACTAAGCCGCTCCTCGCTCCACTAAAATGTCCTCCCGCTCCAGTCAAATCG